CACAGGATGGAGAGGGTGTTACTCGCACAGGGAACAGAGAGGGCAAGATGGCCTCGAGAGCGAGCGTTCGTCCCTGGGGTCACAGGTCTGGCCCGCAGCCAGCGTCCGGAGCCGGTCTGCAGGCACCCCTCTCTCGCGGGGCACCCTACCGGGAACAGCGGGGCGGGGGGGGTTGGCCCGGTGCCGTGGGATGGACTCACAAGCTGAGCAAAGCGGTCCGATCAAGCCCAGAGCAAGGACAGATATTCCCAGACAAAGAGGGGTGCCCACGCGGGGCGTGTCCTGCGAGGTCCTTTCCTCTGCCACCACGCAGGTGTCCAGAAACGCACATCGTGATGCCTCTCCGAACGTTCCCTCCAATTTGCACACCTGTGTGTTTTCTATTTTTGTGCCGGGGCCTCATCGATATTCAAATAATATACAAGCAAAAGATAACGGTCACAGATGGGGAAAAAATGATGAGTCTGTGGTCCAGCTGAAGCTGGGTCCTTGAACCCCCTCTGCGGCACTCTCAGGAGGGGGCCGCCTGTGGGCGCCTCCACACTGGGCCCTGCCCGCCCTCGCCCTGCTCACCCCATGTCCCTTGCGCCCCCAGGAAATCTCGGTGCTGAGCTGCCTTGTTTTGCTCTAGAGGCCGCTAGCGGCTGCACCTGATTTCCGCATCATGAGGGCCAGGAAGGGGGGGCACCCCAAAGGCAGCCCGATGTGGCCACGGTGAGAGCCACAGAGACGTGGGAATGCAGAATGGCAGAGAGCGGCTGAAACCACTGCACGTGTCCGTGTGGCCAGCGGTGGGCAGACGGGGTGAGCCGGTGCTGCCCCCCGGGGCTGGCCTCCGCCCGGGGCCTTGGCTGCTCGGCCGGACCGAGGCCCACCCCCACTTTCAGAGCAGGCCTGATGGCCCCTTGCCTGCCCGGTGTGTCGCTTTGAGAGCCTGACACAGGAACATTGCTAGCTGACCGTATTTTTCAGAGCTCAAATTGAGACAGATGGTCTGCCCAGAGATGTTTTCCTGATTTAGCCCGTTTACTTATATAAAAAGCCTTACGAAAAGGGTGCGCGCCAATTTGCATTTGATTGTCCATTTACTGAGTCACCTTTCACAAGCAGGATGGAGCCTTGACCACAGGGGGGCGCTATCTGGCCTGGCTGGGGGACGGGGTGGGGGGGTCGAGGGTGGGAGGGGGGCTTCAGAAGAGGGGCGATGCCGGGCTGGGGTCCAGGTTCTGGGCACGATTTGCATGGTGCCCAGAGAGGCTCACTCCGGGGCTGGAGCTGGTAAGTACTTGGATGAGACTCGGGGGGGGAAATCTCCGCGGCTCCTCAGCAGTCGTTTGACCCAAACTGCGACCCCAGGTCCTCGGCGGGACCTGGGGGGGACCTCCCGCTCCCTGGGTCCCTGCCAGGCTGGGACAAGGACCAGGCGGCACCCAGAGGCCCCAGCCACTCATCACAGAGGCATCCCTGTCTGGAATTCGGGACCCCATTTGCCAGACGCCCAGTCAGTCCTCAACTGGGTGCCGCAGACATCGGCTGCTGTGTCCTCATGGGGCCCCGGGGGGAAAGAGGCCATCGTTAATAGCTCACTTTGTAAAGAGGCACAGAGAAGGCAGCAACTTGGCTGAGGCTGCACAGCTAGCGGGCGGTGGAGGTGGGACTCCAGTCCAGGCCACGGGACTCGCCTCCCCCCTCCCCCCTCACCTGCTGGACGTCCTCTCTGTCTGGACTTGGTGCTCAGGTAGGGGTATTCTTCCTGGCTCCGTTTCCCCTCCTGTGCCTCGACCAGCCCACAGCAAATCCTTCAAAATATATCCGGAGGGGGACAAGCACTCCCACCTCCCACTGCCTCCAGCTGCCACTCTCACAGGTCACAGAAGCCACACCCTGATGGCTCTGGGGCCACCACAGCCCTCATAGTGCATTCTCAGCACAGAGGACTGGAGCCTTCTCACACACGGTAGCCAAATGCTCTGACTTCTCTACGGGCTCCCATTTCACCCCCATAAATGTCCTTATGGAGGCTCCCAAGCTCTTCACAATCTAGCCCTGTCACCTCTGCACCCACGTCTCCTCACTCACTCTGCCCCAGCCATGCTGGTCTCTTTATTGTTCTTCAGACCCACTAGCCACACGCCTGCCTCAGGGCCTTTGCACTGGCTCGTGCTTCTGCCCGGAATGCTCTTGCTCCAGAGAACCACGTGGGTAACATCCTCGTGGCCTTTGTGCCTGGGATCAAGTGTCACTTTGTCAGTGAAGCCTGCTCGGACACCCTATTTCGGGCTGTGCCCTTCCCCGCTGACAGCACCCCCCTCCCCCAGCCCGCAGCTCCTCGCTGCCCTGCTTTGCCACAGCACTTAGCACCTTCCAAGGTCCTGTTTTGTTTATTTGCTGTGCTGTTTCTTTGTGGTCTCCCACTGCTACAGGGTGAGCTATTGGTACCTTTGTCTCATCCACAGCTTCGTCCCCGTTCCCAGAGAATGCTCGGCACATAGTATACGCTCAGTAAATACTGAATAGTTCCTAGAAGCCTCAGAGTGGCCTTGATCTCCTTTTGCGGACAAAGGTAAGCATCCAGCCCAGGGACACACGGCTGAGAAGAGCAGAGCAAGGACCGGACCCGGCTTTTTCCACCCAAGAGGCTGCCTCGAGCTTTGGCGAGTGGCCTGATTTCCTCCATACTCCCCTCTACCCACACCCTTTGTGACAATGCGGAGTCTGTTCCCCAGCCCTCAGACCTGCTGCCTGACCTCGCACAACATTGGGGCCTCCACTTTCTCCTGGGCCCCCGCCATGAGCACAGGTCCCCAGCTGGCCTGGGGGAGGACGGCGGCCATGCTGGGGCCAGCTGCGGCTGTCCCAGACCAGTCAGCGCCCCCAGCCGCCTGCCGACTGCCAGCAGGTGCGTGAAGGGCCAGCGGAGGTCAGCCACGCCCACGCTTGGCCACAGAAGCCAGCCACCCCGCCAACCACCTGCAGATTCCTTGGGGGCAGAAGTAATTAGTCCATGTTGCCTGCCGCTGAGGGCCAGGCTTTACTCAGCGCTCCTGCAGCGGTGCTAATGGGTACACTTGGATTTGAACTAGCATCTGCATGGGGTGAGTCGGGCCCCTCTAGCTGCCCTTGGGGCGCTTTCTGCTGGGTTTGGAGCTGAGGAAGGGCCCTGGGGCCCAAGGACCAGCATCCAGCCTTCTCGTCCCTCCCCTCCCCCCCTGCCGCTGCTGAAGTCTGCTGTGAGGCAGGGCTGGGTTGCAGTTATTGGGGAGACACCCCAGCTACTCCCCCAGGGAGCTCCGAGCCCCCAGGCTTCTCTTTGGGGTCGGGGTGGAAGGCTGGGCTGGACTCGCCCCTCTTGGGCGTGGCTTCCTGCACACCCGGTGGCCCACCGTGAAAGCCACAGAGAAATTTCTCTTCTCAAGACTTGGTCGGGGGAAGGGTAGACTCAATGGGGGAAGGATGTTGAGGAGTGTCCCCCCCCCCAGCTGGGTTCCCCGAAGCAGAACCTGAGGCCAGGATATAGACGTGGATCATTTATCCAGACAGACCCCAGGAGGCAAGACCACAAGACACACCAGTGAGGGATGTGCCGGGAACTCAGGCTCAAGCCTGCTGGGGCCCCAGGCCCTGCATGGACTGTGCCTTAGACTCGCCCACCACGAGACAGGGGATTGAGACTCCCGCTGGGTGCCGAAGTTGTGTCCCTCCACATTTCGGGGCTGTGCTGACCGTGAGCAGATGGAGGAGACGGGTCAGGACAGCCCCAGGAGGTTCACGAGGACCTGGCCCCGTAGCCTTACTCTCCCCTACAAAACTCAGCTCCTGGTCACCTCTTCTGTGAAGCTGCCTTGACCTTCAAAGGAGCGGTCATTGCTTCCTCTGCATCCTATGGCTCTTTGCACAGACCTCCCTTGTGACAAGGCCCATTGAGCAGGACGTCACTGTGTACCAAGCTCAGTGCTAAACAGCCCCTTATGTGACCCGTTTAATGCCACGACTGCCTCACGTACATACAAGGAGTATCATCACGTTATCGTCCAGGGGCTAAGGTTCAAGGTCTCATGGCTACAAAGTGGAGGAGGCCAGACTCGAACCACCAACCTGTAGACGGGCGCTGGCGCCATCGCCCTCACTACGGATGGGTGTCTGCTCCCCTGGACCCCGAGCTCCCCGTTCATCCACCGGGCGGCCAGCGCACGCGGCTCGCACCCCCGTGGGAGGTGGGCACACCCACCAGCAGATGGAACGCACAGCTCTACCCCGCTCCAAACTCACACTCCCACGGCGGCCAGCGGCAAAAATAGCCAACTAATTTGAATGGAGTGACAGGAGGCATGAACAAGAACCCAACTTCAGACAAATGGACATTTTCAAAAGAGGAAGGGCAGCAGCCAGGCAGGCCTCCAACATAACGCGGCTCCAGCCCAGCAATTTAGCGCGATTAACTGAAGCCGCAGCCCCAGTCGATATAATAGCGGGTGCATTATCAGTTTTGCCAGAGACCATTATTCATTATCTCTGTGTTTCCCTGGCTCACCCCCGGCTGGCGGGAGCGCCGCTGCCTCTCCCGCAGTCAGCTGTATTTTAATCAGCTACATTACCGGAAAATGTCCTCAGAGGAAGCAGTGCTATCGCCCGGCATGTCAGCTGCCGCTCGCAGATCGGGATAGCAACGTTCCAAGGTGCGGTAATGCCGTGTGACACTGTGCAAGTTCATTTAGAGAAAAATTAAACATCATTGGGAGGTGAGTGAGGGAGATGAGAACGGGGGGTGCGGGGGCCTGGCTTGGTTTCAGATGATATTTAAGTGGCCTTGGGGTATTGATTCCGGAGGAAGTCTTTGCAAGGGCTCCTTGGTGGTCTATAAATGTTTGCCCAGAATTCCCCAACTCACCCTAGGCATGGACAAAGAAGACTGAGAAAGCAAGACGTAGCCCCAAATTACAAGGGTTTATTTGGTCCCATAAGTCCTGGGGGGGGGGGGGCGAGGAATTGGGGGAGGGGCTTTGGGAGCGCTGGGGGAGAGGGAGGAGGGGAATGAAGGGATCATCTGGTTCATGTATATTTCCGGAGCCGATTCCATGGGCCAGGTAAGGTGCTGGAGCCACCAAGATGGGGCCACACTGTCCTTGACCTTGAAGCAAAGAGGAATAAGGGCCGAATGCACGTAACCAACTCAAGGCCTGACGAGACCAGGAAGGGAGGTGTTCCGACCGCTTCCATCGGGAAGGAGGGAACCCTACACTAAATAGTGCAATACGGTCACCACACGGCACCTAACACTGGACAGATGCGATTGTCCCCAGGTTATGAGCAACAGATACTCCAGCCCGGGGAGAGGGCACCACCCGCCATGCAGGGCCTCACGGGGGCTGCACGCAGGAGCACTGAAGGCCTGGGGTCACGGGAGGGCAGCTTTATGGTAGCGGGAGGGTGGGGTGCCCCCTGGTTCCCCTGGAGGATGTAACTGGCTTGTTTGAATAATTCTGCAGGTGACAGGAGATCGAGCCCATGAGGCTGAGGACCGGGTGAGGTGCAGCTGGTCAGGCTGGTAGGGGAGCTATTTTTGGGAAGCCTTTTCCGTGGCAGGGGTGGGGGGCAGAAGGGTATCCGGTAAGAGTAGCCAAATTCATTTAGGCCTTTGGGGTCTTGTGGGGCTCAAAGATGTCAAGGCAGCATCTAATACTCACCTTATGGTTGGAACTCACACCACAAGAGGTGCAGGTGAGGAGGGAGGGCTTCCTTCTGAGTGGTGACACAGGCAGGGGTACCAAGTGCCATGCCCTTGAGCTTGCCTCTTGCACCTATCCATCTCCAGAAGGGCATCCTGTGGGTATCTGCTGTGCATGGGGCCCCAGACGAATGCACATGGGACATAGTGACTTCACTCCAGCCCACCCACGGACCTGAGCAAGAATACACGATTGCTGCTCTCAGCCACTACATTGTGGGATTATTTGTTACACAGCATTATTGGGGAGAGAGCTGACTGACACAGACACTAAAGCATCGTATACTGTACAATACTGACTTGGACTTCTTGCCCTCTCTTGCTTTATCCTTAGTCTGGAATGCTCTTCTACACTCTTCTTAGCCTAAAGATATTTCAGGGCTTCGCTCATTGCTATATTCTGTGGGGAGCCTCCTCCACCATTTCCAGAAATGATGCCATCTTTTTCTCTGAGCCTACATTTGAAGAAAAAGCATTGTGGCAGGTAGGAGGCAGAGAAGGGGTCCATGGCTCCCCTGTGTGCCAGGGCTGATGTCATTTTTCTTTACTTTTTCTCAGGAAGGACGAAGGAGAACATCTCCAGCTCTCTGAGGTTCAGCCACGGAACCAGCCAGGGGCTTTCTGGGCACACCTGTTATTTGTACCAGTCTCGGAATCTGTCGGATCCTGATGGGTTTGCCTACCCAGTTACTCTGCGCCCGTGCCCGGCCAGCGCCCTGTGGAGTTGCCGGGTGAAGAGGACAGAATTACATGCTATTCCATGCTCTGGAATTTAAACAGCTGCTAGCACCTCCCAGGAAACACTGTGTTTAGCAACTAGCCAGCCTGTGTTTTAATTTCAGTCTCCTTGCTCTTCCCAGCCTTTATTACACGCCAGAGATTTCTGTGCAAACACCACTGCGTCTTTGATACATCTTTGGAAGACTTGACAATCCCTTTGCCTCCTTTGCCTGGTGTTGACGGAGGCCTCACTTATCCCTGCACCCCCCCCCCCAGGAGTCTATAAATAGAGGGACACACACACACACACACACACACACACACACACACAGAACTTTTAATGCTGCAAGACTGCTCAGCTTAAAAAAGCTGCAGGCACATTTTCCTAGTCTCCAAGGTTCCCTACATCAGTTACCAGCAGCTGCAGGGTTCCCATATCAGTTACTCTCAGGGACCCAAGGAAGCAAGAGGGCCAGAGACCGGCCCTTCCTATGCAATTGCTAGCTGGAACACGCATTGTTGATTTCTCCTCTCCCATCGCTGTCTCTTTCAGGACTGTTCTGGCTAAAATACAGACCACTTTTTGAGTAAATTAAATTTACTGTTCAGCAAGTTTTCACAGTGTGCACTGTGGGCAGAGCATAATTCCCTGTCCCGCTGATATTGAGCTTGACCTTGGGACTGGCTTTGACCAAGGAAATGCTAGCAGACATGGTATGAGCAATGGGTAGAAACAAATGCATGTGTATCGGCTTGCCCTCTGCTCCACGGTATTCTCCCGTGACTAGAATGTGCTCTGAGTAAACTCCAGGTCTGATGAGGACAGGAGCTTCACAGAGCGGGTCTAGACCCCACTCAAATCTTGGAGCCGAGCCCCACTGAGCCTGAATGGGATCAGCCAAATTCCCACTGACCTACAGACAAATGAGTGAGAAACAAATGCTTATTGTTGTATGCCGTTGAATTCTGGAATTGGTTGTTAGACGAGAATAGTTAGCTAATTCAAGGGGCCAGGCTTCCTTTCCTTCCACATTCTCCCCAGCTGTTCTTTTGAAAATGAAATTGGCAGCAATTGGCATTGCTGATCATTCCCAAAGAAGAGCAAAAACTTGCAGTAGCTTTGCCAGGACTGAAGGCCCCTTTACATGGAGTCAGGCCAATTATCTTACCAAGCTTCCCAGCAGTCACCCCGATTGCTTATCAATGTGGCTATAAGCAGAGCAGAGCTGCCTCAACTGCTCAAGCCAATGGTCAACGCCAGCCTCCAGGCTGGAGTCTTGGCCTCTGTAACATCATGTGCTAACCACCTGAGCCAGCCAGCTGTAACAGGGACCGTCCCAGCCCTCAGGAAATGCAGTGTCTGGGGGCCGACTTTCAGAAACCGCCCCCCCCCCCCCGCCCCAAGCTCTGTCCAGCAGCAGTGGTGCTGAATCCAGGGTGGTCCCTTCTGCAAGGTCTTGTTGAGCAGAGCTTGAGGGTTGAGTACTTGGGGACATACTGACTTGGCTGACATCAGTCAGCTGCTCTCCATCCTCTGCCCTAAATACTTTCCTTCTCTTTGTCAGTCACTCCACCTGGTTCCAGCCTTTCTCTTCAATGTCTCTTGCTCACCCTCTGTCATGGCTCTGATTAATTACCCAGGAAAAAAAAATTTTGTTCATCCAGGGAGTCAAATCTCCAAATCACCCAGATAATCAATATTCGACTGCTGTGCTGCGGAGCGGGGGATCGATTTGCTGCCAGCCATTGCTAGGCAACTAGAAGCCTTCACATCATCCTCATGTAATGAAGGCAGCTGCCAAAAGTGGGCCAGCACACGGGGCTGGCTCTGAAGGATCAGCAGCATGTGAAGCCAGAGAACCACCCCACAGGGAAAGGAGGGACTTGCGACTCTTGAGACTTTAGTGATGTGTCACGCGGCACCCTGGCTCAAAGCAAACCACTTGCTTAAAAATTCTTTTCGTTGTGGAAAATTTCAAATACTTACACACAGAGACACTCCAGTGAATATCCACGGACCCGCTACCCAGCTTCACTAATGATCAACCCTTGGTGAATTCAGTGTCTTCCTATCCCCCACCTGCTGCCCACGCACATCGGATTCTATTTAAGCAAATCCTCAACCTCACCCACAGGTAGGTACTTCCTACCTGTAGGTAGGCATCTCCGAAAGGGAAGGACTCCTCAAAACAATGACCGCTGCATCATTACCACACTTGTAAGAGATAACCTTGACTTCTCAACATTGAATATCCAGTGTTCAAATGTCTCCAAATGTCTTCATTTTTTGTTTACAGTTTTACTGTAATCAGGATCCAAAGATGTTTCAAACATTGTAATCAGTTGGTATGGCTCTTCTGTTTCTTATAATCTACCCATCTTCCTCGTGGCTTATTTGTTGAAAAGGAAGATCACCTGTCCTGTAGAGATTTCCAGGAGCTGAATCTTACACCCTGTGGTGTGGTTTGTCAGCTTCCTCTGTCTCTCATTTTTCCTGTGGATTAGCAGTTAGATCAGGCAGCTCGGTGAGACTCAGGTTTGACGTGTGGGTAAGACTACTTTATAAGTAGCCGTTTCCAGTACCCTATAATGCGTGGCTCACTCTCTCTGTCTTTTTTGTGAGGTTGGCAGGCGCTGATTGCTTCTTAGGGACTGACGATCCACAGAGTGGAGAGAGAGATGTGCAATACGAATATTTGACAAAGGAGTCATGCCTGGAATATATCAAGAATCCTTGCAAATCATTAAGGAAAAAATAGACACCCCACTCTTTTTGAATAAAAGGCTTCCTATTCCTTTCTCCTGGAACTGAATCTAAAACTGAAAACCAATAAACAGAAAAGGCTTTGGGGAGAAAGGGAGCGCAGGGGGAGGGGGGGAGGGCGGAAAGTGATGACAATCCATCCACCTTTCTTCAACCATAGAAATGAACATTTCACATGTTTACAGGAGGAGCGGGGAAGGGCTATTTTGGAGAAACCAGTAGATCAATTTACCAAGCCCAACTAACCAGGATTCTTCCAAGTTACTGAAGGATCAAGAAAATCAATGTCCAGGGGCGCCTGGGTGGCTTAGTCGGTTAAGCGTCCGACTTTCGCTTGGGTCATGATCTCGCGGTTCGTGGGTTCGACCCCCGCGTCGGGCTCTGTGCTGACTGCCAGCTCAGAGCCTGGAGCCTATTTCAGTCTGTTACTCCCTCTCTCTCTGACCCTCCCCTGCTCATGCTGTCTCTCTCTCTCTCTCCTGGAAATAAATAAAAATATTAAAAAAAAAAAAGAAAATCAATGTCCATAATTAATCTCACAGAATCTCCTGTTGCAGTCAGTGATAAGAAAAAGTCACACAGTCCCGGGATTTAGTATATCCACAGAGACCACTCTGGGACAAAATGCATAAACACTAGTAAATTACTTCAAAGCTTTTCTCTTTTTTAATTAACTGAAGTAATTTTGTAATAATCCCCACAGCTTGCGTCTTAAAATGGAAATCACTTAAGGATCGAATTTGTCTTCTGATATTGTTTCCCTAGTTCTAGGGCTCAAACCACGAGAGCTCAGCCCCACGGGGTGGTGGTGACTTGAGGCTTTAATAAAACACACAGAACTTTCAGACTTCACTCCAGCTCAGCAGATGGTAACAAGTGTCAGAAGCATTTAATTAGCCCCTGCATTAGCTCCTGATTTAACGAGCCCTCTCTAGCTGTGTACCTGTGATGTGTGGATCTGCAGAGGCATAAGCTTCTGAAGGACTATAAAAAGCTTTTTAAGAATGATGGATTTGAGTGTTTCAAGTTCCCAGACTGCCATAAAAGGCAAAGGCCAGCCCCCCCCACACCCCCGTTCTTCTTCTCTGTGCACACACAACAAAGTGAGCCTCCAAAGGCAATGAATTCTACAGTCTCCAATTCCATAGGGGATTGTGAGCTGTGCACACAGCTTCACAGCACCACTGAGCCAGAGGGACCTCGCCCTATAATCCCGTGTGTGTATGTGCCTTGGAAATGTTTTTCAAAGCCAATTCACTCAACTATCATGATTGAGGCTCACAAAATCCTGTTATGTAAACCAGTTATTTCCCCATTTGACAGGTGAGAAAACCGCTCTCCCAAGCCCGAAGTCAACAGTGAGTGAGTAAGTGAGTGAAAATACCAACACAGAACCCACCTGCTTCCATGCTGAGCCTGGTCCAGGCTACAGCCAGCATGGCACTAGGGGTGGGATTGGGGGTCCTAAAGTCAAGGACTGTACTCTTCATCCAGGAATTCCGGCAGCCCTACAATGCCTGACACTTAGCTTTAACTCAGGGAGGGCGAATCCAACAGTTCACAAAAGACTAGCCCAGGATATTGTTGTCTCGATGCCCAGGAAATGGAACCCAACTCTTGCTGTTCTGCAGCAAGTCCTCTGTGGACCAGGAGATGAATGGATTTACCTCCCCTTTGTGTGGATGATGCTCCATACACCTGGAGGCAACGAGCGAGCTGTGGCTCAGACAAGGAGAAAGTTCTTCTTTCCTGGAAGACAAAGCCAGATCCCTTAATCTCTCTCCAGGGGAAGAAAAGTGCCTTCCACTCTCGATACACCCCGCCCCCCCCATCTTGGTGTGCTCGTAGGGCTGAGGTGTTCCGCATGCCATCTCTGAGTGTCCTCAGACACCAGGCTGACCTCCCCACTACGATGGGCAGAGGATCCGAGGAACCAAGCCGAGATCTTTTGCAGGCACCCATTTGGCAAGTGCACCCTCTGGCGCTGGCCCCTCCCACTTTGCCAACAGAGCATTTTCCAGCTAAGCTGGAAGGCACTACTCTGTCACCCCCCGGGCTTGCAAGGTCCGGTGCACTGGCAAGGGACTACGGTGGAGGAAATGGTTTGGAAAGAAGTGCTGGTGGCAGCTGTGGAGGCAGAGCGAGAAGCAGAGAGAGGCAACCTCAGCTCCCTGTGTCTCCTCCAGGCACAGCACATTTTACACCCTAAAGCTCCATGGATCGCAAGACATTCACACTCAGCCTCTGCCCTCTAATTCCTGGGGGTCTGAGAGAACGGTGACATGGCCTTTAGCAAAGTCCCTCTACCCGCCTGCGCATTTGAATCACCTGGGCTGCTTTTGCCCCAAGTCAATTGCTCTCTGGGGTAAGGTTCTGGCATTGGTGTTTCCACAATAACCCTGTGACGGGGATTTGAATGTCCAGCCAGAGCTGAGAATCACTCCCTTAAGGGAACTTTTGATGCAAAGGTTTCTTAACTCTGACTGCATTTGGAACTCTCTGGGAGCTTTAAACAATGCTGGTGCTAGGACCCTGCTCCAGAGACTCTGATTTAGTGGGTCCACGGCACAACCTGGGCAGCAGCATTTTTTTTTTTTAATATATATATTTTATTTATTTCTAGGAGATAGAGGGAGAGACAGCATGAGCAGGGGAGGGTCAGAGAGAGGGAGACACAGACTCTGAAACAGGCTCCAGGCTCCGAGCTGGCAGTCAGCACAGAGCCCGACGCGGGGCTCGAACCCACGAACCGCGAGATCATGACCCAAGCGANAAAAAATTATCCACAGAGGGGCACCTGGATAGCTTAGTTAGTTGGGTGTCCAACTCTTTTTTTTTTTTTTAATATTTTTATTTATTTCTAGGAGAGAGAGAGACAGCATGAGCAGGGGAGGGTCAGAGAGAGGGAGACACAGACTCTGAAACAGGCTCCAGGCTCCGAGCTGGCAGTCAGCACAGAGCCCGACGCGGGGCTCGAACCCACGAACCGCGAGATCATGACCCAAGCGAAAGTCGGACGCTCAACCGACTAAGCCACCCAGGCGCCCCAGGGCAGCAGCATTTTTTAAAGCTCCCCAGGTAAGCCTAATGCTCAGCCAAGGCTGTGCTACTTCTCTAAACACTTTTATCTCCACACTTTAAAATGAGCTCCTGGAAACTCTGGGTCCCTCCAGCTTCAAGAAAGCCACTCAGTTCTGCATAGCATCTGCCCACAGGTAAAACTGATGTTGAAAATCGCAGTAACGTGGCAAGTTAATTGATAGACTGGACCCCCAGGAATGACTTGATTTCTTTCAAAAGTAATAATAACTCCAAACCCTGTGTAGGGTTTAAATACCATATAAACTCTTTTGTATATGTTCTCATTTGACCACGGGAAAGTATGAATCTCTGAACTTCTATTTTCCCAGCTTTAAAATGGAGCTGAGTGACTTCATGATTGCTGGGTTTAGGGTTCAAATCCAGGCCTCTGACTCTGAGCTCAGGGCCTTTCCACCTGAATTGGCTTAGGACATAAAGTAGAGACAAGCCTGGGAAGGGAAGTAGGCTGTTCAGGGGTTGGGGTGTGTGTGTGTGTGTGTATGTGTGTGTGTGTGTTCTTTTCTGCAGAAAAAGAACATCAAGGCAGGAGGGAAAACCTGTGGCCATTGAGTGTGTGAGGCTCACCCAAGGCTGAACCCCCAAGCTGGTATCCAAGGCAGGTGCTCATTCCATATGAGGACTGCAGAGGAGAGGGTAGAAATCATGAGATCAGATTCGCACTTGAGAAAGCTGGTTGGGAGGACAGGGGTCTATCGTCAAGGCCAGACCAGCTAGGGTGAACCCTGGGCAGGTACAGGAGGCAGTCTCCTCTGGAGACTGAGGACCCATGGCTTGTTTCCTTCTTGTGACACCTGGAATTCATCTAGCTCTGGCCTGAGATTTTGTTCTAGATGACTTTGTCTCTTTGGATCATAAAGGGAGTCAGTGGAAGGATGGAGCAGTGTAGGACGCCCTGTATATGAGGATTTCAAAGTCACCAGGACATTTACTCCCACTTGCCCCTTCTATGAAAGCTTTGGAGGATATGATACAGCAAAATGAGGAAATAAATCAAGTTAGACAAAAACGTAGGATCCAAGTAACAGGAGATTCAACCACAGGAAAATAGTGAGAGGAAGTCTCAGAATCATGGAGAAGGAAAAAATGACAGAAAGGATGGCTCCAAGGCATCTGGGTGGCTCGGTCGGTTAAGCATCTCACTTAGGCTCAGGCCATGATCTTATGGTTGGTGAGTTTGAGCCTCATATCAGGCTCTCTGCTATAGCACAGAACTGCTTTGGATCCTCTGTCTCCCCCTCTCTCTGTCTCTCCCTTGCACTCCCACTCTCTCTCTTTCAAAAATAAATAAACATTTTTTATAAAGAAAGGATGGCGCCAGATTAGAGCAAAAAGAAAGGTCTCCAAGAAAAAAATGGAACAGATATATTATCTAATGCATATGAACATTTGGAAGATACTATTGGTAGGTATCTGAAAACTTTTCAAAGCATGTGGGAAAACATTATCAAAAGCTAAATTGAAAACTATACAAGTGAATAACTGAGGCAATGATTAACACCAGGGAAAACGAAAGGCTGTAGAAGAAAGAAAATGGCAATATTTACATATGTATAATAATGTAAACACTGACCATTTAACAAAAAAAAAAGTTATATAACCATATTGAGAGGATTCTGGGAAAGAATAGAGGGTGGAAGTTGGAATGTAAGAGAGCTAAACCCTCACCTACCAGAATAGGAAATAAATAGATAATATCTAAACTTAATAAATCAAGAAAATAACGATATAAGCATAGCATTTAGAATCATGGAGACAAGGCATAGAAGAAAAAGATGAAAGATTATAATTGGCTGTCCTAGAACCGAGGGTTGGGCCAGGGTAGGGGTGGGGCTGTAATTGTTTTTATATTATTTGATGCTTTCAACTATAGGCATATTATCATTAACATTGGATTTCTCTTAAAAATAAAGTGGGAGGGGTGCCCGGGTGGTTTAGTTGGTTAACCATCTGACTTCGGCTCAGGTCATGATTTCACAGTTCGTGAGTTCGAGCCCCGCGTCGGGCTCGCTGCTGTCAGCACAGAGCCTGCTTTGGATCATCTGTCTCCCTCTCTCTCTGCCTCCTCCTCACTATCACTCTATCTCAAAAATAAAATAAATATTAAAAAATAAAATAAAATGGTAAAGAGAACATTCTTTAAAAGGCCATCAAGAGCAGACAAGCAGATGCTTACACTTCCCTGCCAGGGACCCCGACCCTGGCCCTGATTAACCCCACTAACCTATTAGTGGGATGGAGTAAGGGTTAGAGCATGTTTGACTATGCCAAGGATGCCTCTCAGGCACTCTCCTTCCTCCCTCATTCACGCTCTGATGCCCGACCCAATCAATTACCTAACATCTGTGAACATTTGGAAAGTATTATTGATGGGCCCTTAAAACCTCTTCAAAGCATTAAAAAAAATAGCAAAAGATAAATTGGAAACTATGCAAATAGAAAACTCCCTCAGTCATGCTCTGATGTCAACCATGTCAAGGGCAAGCTTATCCAAAAGGCAGTGACAGAAGCTAAATCCCAGCCGCCTCCTCCTCCCCACATACGCTGTGAGCTGCGGGCTGTCTCTCTGTCCTGCCAATCCTTTGTTTAACGTGTCACTTTGAATACTACTTGCTGTCCCGGGAAAGGTGCCAGGCAGGCAGTCCACGGGCCCAGTGACCCAAGCAGGGTGCGAATCCCAAACCTCACCGCAGCTGCTCTAGGTAGGGTCTCTGCTCCAGGGGCTCCACTCCAGGATCCCTGATGAGGAGCTTCTCCCCAGGGCTACTCCTCAGTCTATGAAAACCAAGAACACAGAGCCACAGGGACATCTTGGAAGTGGGCCAGCTGAGACCCTGAGCCAGCCTTGGCCACACAGCAGACTTCTCTCATGTGGAGGTACCATGGCCGACGGTGTGGTGGGAAGCAGGCTCCACCATCCACCAGTCTTGTGTCTGTGGGAGAGGGACTGGCCTCTCCAGCCTCTGTTTTCCTCATCCGTGAAATGGGAAAACCACTTTGTTCTGAGGGCAAAGTTGAAAATTAGAGGCAGCTCTTCTTGCAAAAAACACCAGACACAAGCCATACACTAAAAAGGCTCTGATTATTATCATTAGTGAATGTCCTCTGTTCTTCTCGAGTTCCTTGGAGAACCCAGTCAAGGAAAGTTTCTCCCCTGCTGCCCTTCTTCTTCGGGCCCCACCCCTAGCGGGTCTCAGGAGCTCTCCCATCGGGACCCTTCGCCCACAGCCCTGCTTCCCCAAGACTCTCTGCCCCTTGTTAAGGGATAGTCCCTCTCCTCTCGCTGTGCAGCTCTGCCTCATTCAGAGCCCAGCCAGCTGCCTTCCCCACAAGGTGCCCATCGAGGCATGTTCCTTGCAAAACCAAACACACATGTTTAATTACTTCCCCTTGACCCTGTCGGTGAGGGAGGACTAAACACACAGCACCCAGCCCTGGACACATGAGGTTATCCAGAGTTTATTAGTCACATGGACTCAATACCTGTGGGGACGACACTGCACACCAGGCAGGGTCACACAGGACTTGCGCTCGGGAACAGTGTGAAAGTGCCTGTGGGCTGTGGGAGACACACTCAGTATCAAAGGGAGTATTGGGCGCCTGGGTGGCTTAGTCGGTTAAGCATCTGACTTTGGCTCAG